TTCCGGCTCCAAGGTTACCACTTCGTCCTCAGAGTCGGGCAGGGTTGTGACCGGGGTTAGGCGTGCATATGGTCAAGGACTTACCGTTTGCGTGTTGTCTTCACGGTCGCCAGTTACTTTTGCCTCCAAGCAACAAGGGTAGTAGCCTTCCTTCCGTCTGCGGGGATGATTCAACTCTCGGGATTGCAGGAAATTGGCAGGGTACACGAATGCACTCACATCCGCAATAAACGTAAACTTTACGAATTGTACTTACCCGGATCAATATATATATATATATTGCTTTTATTCACAGCAGTTTCACAACTCTCACTGAGTTAACAATACAATATTTAACGCTAATTGTTTACAGGCGTTATTTGCGAGTCCCGAAAACTTGTTAATATACGTATCTAAGACTTTACATCCGCACCGTATAGCTTTCGAATAGAGACTGAGAAGCTAAGATGGTGGCTGCTTCTTCTCGGCCTTAAAGGCACCTCTCACACGAACGCATGTGCACCATGCCTTTAGGTGTGTTCCGACTACAAAATCCCTAGACCAGGGAACTTTACACGGGCGCGAGTTAAACAAATATTTTTGCACTTCTAGGATCTCCTTTGATGGGAGAACAACAATCTGGCTTGATAATTTGTTAAATTAACAAATTATCTCAATTTGTCAACTAAGAGAAAATTTTGTTATAACTCGATTCTACTTAACTCCCTGTTTCACGAGATAGTAAAATTTTTCCTTAAACGATACTTTTGTGAAAATCTTACAACTACAAATTAACAATTAAATTTATGCCATTAAGCTTTGTTACCTTCGTCAGATTCTTGTTAACCAATCCTTTTGTCTTAACTACCACTTTTATTATTTAAACACACCGTCTACCTTACGGTGCCCAAAGGACCCCTAATTTGTTTAGGTCGCCTCCGTGAGTTTTAAATCAACGTAAAACGTACACTAACGCTAATTACAAGAACACAGCCTTCTTCTTACTTCTGCAGGCTTTAAAACTAGAATTACATACGTAACTAGCGCTTTTAACAGTGCTTTTCTTAAATCAAACAAAATACGGAACACAAGAAATAATAAAACTAAGCTTACGCCTAACTTTGGCTTTTCCTCCTTCTCACTTAACAATGTAACACCTTTCTACTGAAGGTCTTTTTTGTCACATTTCATTATTACAAAAACATAAATACTCCTAACAATAACTCCTGTTACCCAGGACTGGTTACTTACTGTTTGGTGATACATACAAACAAACAAAACAAACGAGCTTAAAACTAGTATTGCCCTACTTTACTTGGCAACTTAAGTACCAGTTCTTTACTCGCAGGTAAGTACTAAGTAAAACTAATAACAAAAGAGAAAAAAAAATTAAAGTTCTTTATTAAGTCCAGCAAGCCCTGTTTTCTGTTTCAGGTCCTTGCTCCTAACTCAACGCTGTCCAGGATTTCTCTTAACACTCGTCCTGCCCAACTGGTCACCTCCTTTCGGAGCTCCGCTCTTTCGTATTCTACCTGAGCAGTTATCAGCGCATCTCTTAGCGATGTCTGGCATAGCTCATCATCCTGCCACGCTTTGCCGTCTGGACGTGGTTCTGTCTCTGGTGACAGGGTAACAGTCGGTGGCAGGACGGGCGGCTCCGGCAAGGCAGGATCGTGGTTGTCAGTTGTTTCCGCGGTGTCTC